ACATTTTCGTTTTCTTTTTGGGATTGACAATTTTCTAAGGTGTGGGTGTCACGCTGGGTGGGGTCCTGGACTCTGCTGGAGGCGTATGACCGCTCGATTCTTTCGAAGGGTCATCGGACGACTGCCGTAAGCCATCATCGGTCTCGCCCCGGTTCATATCCTCAATCATACGGACCACCTCTTGCATGGCGGGTCTCTGATCGGGCACAGTAGACACGCAAGCCATTGCGATCTGCAAAAGCTGAACCATCTCTTCCTCAATGTTGTGGTACCTCATGAGCTCCACGTCGAACACCTCAGCGGTCCACTCCTCCCGGACAACCGACTGGACCCACCGGGGCAGGTCGATGCCCTCCTCGCCCAGCGAGGCTTGATTGGGCGCTTTCCCCGTTAATAGCTCTAACAGCAACACACCAAAACTGTACACGTCGGATTTGAAAGTGACCTTGCGAGTCTCAACGACCTCTGGCGCGCGATAGCCCGCGACCCGATTGGGCGGGGTGGAGGTTCCGAATAGTGGGTTGAGCCCGAAGTCCGAAACCGAAGCGTCGTGCTCGGGTCGGAGAAGGATGTTGGAGGATTTGATGTTGCCGTGGACCACCTTTCCTGACACGTGGAGATGCGCTATGCCTCTCGCAGCGCTTAGCGCGATTTTCATCCGGTTGTCCCAGTCGAGCGGCGTGCGCCCGGAGCCTCTGCTTCCTGCAATGAAAATGATCGGAAATTCAAGTTTACGCCACCAAATTATTTGTTATTTTAAAAATAAAAAAAGATTAAGCAGAAAATCGGTCGTTCTCTTTTTGGGCGCGGGGGCTTTTTCTAAAAAGAAGTAAAAGCTTTGACACAGAAAAATGAAAGGGAAAGTAAAGCAAAATGGTGTCGGTGACCACTGGCCACCACCATGGCGAATCATGACGACCTTCCTGTTCATGTTTTTTCCCTACCAAATTGGAATTTTTTAATTGTTTTAAAAAAAGAAAAAACAGAAACATGAATTGCGTAGCTTGCACACTAAGAATGTTTGCCCAGAAACAGCAAAATTACAGTGGAATCACCGCAGTTTTTCTGGGATCAAAGATTTGCGGCACGAATGATTCCACATGCCTTTTCAATTTTCTTATTTATGCACTGTAAATAAAACCCAATAATAAATACTAAATTGACAATTTTAAATTTGAAGACTGGACTGGAACAGCTCAAGCTCCACTCTAATCTAATCTAATCTAATCTATGGGGAAACAACAATGCAGGTACTTAATATTATAAGAAACAACATACCTGTGAGCACTACATTTATTCCCTCAGACTTTCGACCAATTAAAAATTATACCAAGAATTCAATCAACGACCCAAGATTTAAAAAAAATAAAATTGAAAATTGAAGAGCAAAATGGGGAATCGAAATCGTACCGTGAAGAAGAGCAGACAAGCTACCAGCGGCCATGTAATCGTAGACGAGCAATTTCTCGTCCTTGGAGAAGTAAAACGCCCGCAGAGGCACCACATTATCGTGCTTAATCTTACCCAGAACCTCCATTTGCATCTCGAACTCTCTCTTCGTCACCACCACGTCCTTCAGCCTCTTCACCACCACCGTCGTCCCTTCTTCCAGCACCGCCTTGTACGACGTCCCCACGCTTCCCTTCCCCAAAACCTCCGCCGACGCCCTCAACAGGTCCTCCAAGTCAAAGCTGTAGACCCCACCGTCGAAGAACACTAGCTTGTTCCTCTCCGCCTCCGTGGACCCACCCGTGATATCATCCTTCGACGACGACGTTCCGGCCTCCGCCACCGCCACCGACCGCGCCGCCACCGGCGGCTTCGGGGGCTTGGCCTGCTGCTGACGACGTCGTTTCCGGATGCAAAGCAGGAGAACGAGGAGCAACAGAAACAAAGCCAGAGCGGACCCCACGGCGATCGCAACAATGGCGGCGGTGGATAGCTTCTTGGACTTCTTGTGGGCTGGGATTACGGGCGGGGTCTCGGGTGATGGAGCGGGTGCTGGGAAAAACGGGTTGCACGGTGCAAGCGGCTTGCCGCAGAGATTTAAGTTTCCGGTGAATGCGGAGTCTGGGAACTTGGATAGGGACGCGGGTACTGAGCCGTTGAGTTTGTTGTTGGAGACGTTGAAGCTTCTCAGATTACCGGCTGAGATGCTGGGCAGACTACCCGAGAACCCGTTGTTTTCAAGGAAAAGTCCGGTCAAGTGGGTCAAGTTGGTGACGGTAAATGGGATTGGGCCGGTGAAATTGTTAGAGCTGAGATCGAGCCTGGTTAACCGGACCAACCGAGTCAACCCGGGAGGGAACTCGCCGGAAAACTGATTGCCTTGGAGGTAGAGGCTGCGGAGCAGAGTTAAGTTTGAGAAATCAGAGGGTATTGGACCGAAGAGGCGGTTGGAGCGCAGACTCAGAACTCGGAGCTGACTCAGCCGGCCGAGTGTGTTGGGCGGAACCGGTCCCACAAGGCCGACTCCCGGAAGGCGTAGAGCAGAGACGTAGGACTGCTTGTCGTCACAGGTGATCCCGACCCAGGTGCAGGCTGAAGCGGACGAGTTCCATTGCACGCGGTTCTCGTGTGGGGTCTTGGAGAGAAACGCAAGGAGGGCTTGCTTGTCCTGGGTCGGCTCCGAGTTGACTCGCCCGCCACTCAGTACCAAAAACGTAACGAGAAAACCAACCACACATCTAAAGCCCACACTAGCACTACTGGTCACTGCCATTTTTCTACACCTTGAAGGAAAAAAGAAGAAAACAACAATGGTGTTTATTGTTGGTTCTGATTATGCCCTGGACAGAGCGAGGTTCAATGGAGGTTTGCTATGGCGGTTTTGGACAAAACAATAAATGGTTTTCCGGCGAAAACCCATCAAAGAGAGAGAGAGAGTACTAGATAGCTACTGTGTCCGTGTGTGTTTGTGTGTGCGTGTGAGAGATAGAGAGAGAGAGAGGCAGAGGGAGAGAGAGGGAGAGGCAGAGGGTTTTGTAAGGTGTAAAAGACAAAGGTATCACGAGGCCAAGAAAGGGGAAAATAAAGCAGAGAGAAAACAGCAGCAGTCAGATATGCTTTGCTATGCTATGCTATGCATTGCTGGCAGGCAGCAGTGGAAACGTTTTATTACTAATTTATTGTCCTTGTTAATTTAATTACAAATAAAAATAACGTTTATTTATTTATTTTGTCTACACTCTGGCGGTAGGCGCGTTGGTTTAGCGGCAGTGACGGGTGGCAACTTGACGACTCTGCCCCCTTCGCCTTTCGCCTATGTGAAGAAAAAAATAATAATACGGTGGAAGACGTTAAAAATTCGCATATTAAACCGTCACACTTTTGATTTATTAAACATATTAAATTAATATGTTTTTCACATTTTTTGGTTATGAGGGTTTTTATATATATATAATAAATATTAGGAGACGAGACTCGACCATAATACCTTACCTTGAGTGTATGAGTAACTATCTTAACAATTTAAACGACAAATTCCTTGCCGTATTTAAAATATTCGTGGAGAATTCTTGCTAGTTAAAGATTTGAACCGATAAAAAAAACCTACAAAATTAATGAAACCTTTTTTCTGTCTTTTTGTGTGAATGGTTTATGAAACACTGAATAATAGAAAGGCTAATGATAAAACACTCCCTAGATGTTTTGAGTTATTTTCAATAGGAGCTCGTAATTTCAATTTTATCAATATTCTCAAACATGAACGGTATAATTACCAATTAACTGTTAACGTAGCTATTGTGAGACTCACCTACTGACTGACTAACCAATTCCCTTTTATAAAAAAATATATATATATATTAAAGATGTGAAATCAAATATCATAGTACATTTTTCTTGACTGAAGTTATCATAGATTGATCCACAGTCTATAATAGTAAACATTCGATTTTTTTTGTTGATATAGGAATAACTTAAAGTTTATGAATTTGAGTCTTTAAGTAAATTTGATCAGTTAAAGCGCAATGACCAAATATATCAAATTTACGCATTGAGCTTAATATGCAGATTTCTATATAATATACCCCTTTAGTATCTTTAATCATTTCGTATTGTATTGTATGGTGTAATTCTTCCTTTGTTAGGGGTACTTGGCATTTCACGTATGTTTGGTATGGCAATCGAGTGTCATGCTTAAATTAACAAAAAAAATTCTTATTGTTTCATGTTTTGATGAAGTAAATAATTCATCTCAACTGCCAATGCTCACCAACTCAAGTTCTGTATTGTATCATAATAAGGTAAGGTACTGTTTTATTTAATTACTTTCCAAGCAAATAATTATTTGAAGGGAAACAAAACTTTAATTAGATACCTAATCAATCAGGAGTAATGTGCCTTAAAAATTACAGATGAAAGGGGTAGGTCATGTTAAGACCTTTTGGGTGTCTTGGTGGATAAATGAATCTGGCACTGGACCCTGCCGGTACAAGAGAAAGCAGCCTGAGAAGGAATTCGAGGGAAAAGGACATGTTGTGTTACAAAAAAGAAGAAAAAAGTTGGTTATTTCAATTCCTTTTTGTAAAGCCAACTAGTAAACACCACTCCACATTTTACTCCTGCAGTGTAAATCAAACACATCATGACAAAGAAAGCTGCCACGTAACCCAATTTGGCCAAACTAATAAGCACTGATAAAAACAAAATCTTCCAAGAGGTAATGTGAAAGTAGGGCTTGCTGCAGCTGCTTTTTAAGCAAGTGATTGTGCATAAGACACATTTCCAACTTCCATGTACAGAGAGATGGGTCCTCTCTCTCTCTCTGCAAAAACTCATTCTAGCAAAACAGATATTAATTACTATTAATTATGCCATAAATATAAAACAGATATTAATCACTCTGCCAAATATCGTTACTATTTACAAACTGTTTCTCTGTGTTCTTTTCCCCTGAAAATATATATGTCATTGACTTGGAAATAGGGTTGGGTTGGGAATTTTCCTTTTTCTTTTTCAAGCTCGTTTGAATATGTCATTCGGAAAGGAGAATAAAAACCAGCGCATGGATAGATATAGGGCCACCAGAAAGCATAATATATATATATATATATATGATTCATGAAGAGAAAAGACCAAGTCCAGCAAATCATAAGCATTAAGCCATATGGCACAAATGATGATACAGTTTGCCACAATTTTTATTTTACATTACTTTATGTTTTTTTTTTTATATTGCTGCATATGAAGAAAATAAAAAAATAAAAAAAAAATTGAAAGGATTTTTGGGGAGGCCTTGAAAGATAAGTTTTATGCAGAAACAAAAAATTATCTTCCTTTTGGCCTGGAATCGGTCCCCCCCCCCAAACTCATTCCCACGGCCATCACAATACAAAAATCTGATAAATCAAGTGGTTGACAGGTTAGATGACGAATGTGTATGACCAACCAATGGGCAATGGCATGTGACCAAAATGTGTCACTTTAATTTGGTACTAGAGAGAAAGCCACTGCCTCTCTTTTATCTTCTTAGTATGTCCCAATTCTTTTAGATTTAGACCCTTTTTTGGACTGCACTGAATTATTGATACATCAAATACCCTGAATTATATTAGATCAGATTGAAATATCTACAAATCTTGTCATTTTTTTTTATCGCAATATATAGGATATATTGTGTACAATAATGCCTAAGTGTTCGTGCTTTTTTGATTATAAGCGATAGTCTAAACTATAAGTGAGGGGAGTTTCTCACACGCACACAATTAAGGTTTCTCACATGCACACAATTAAGGTACCATGAATGTTTGAATCACTGATTTGCGAGTCACTATGCTATATCTCATTGGCAAAATAAATAAATATTTGATATCATGTTTCATGAAGTTATTTTGGAGGTGAAACAAAACCTGTCCAGTTTTAATTAATGCCTCAAATTCTGTGAAATAAATCATGGCATCCAAACTATGGTAATTATATGTAAATTAAACAGGTGGTCCATGAACCATGGACGATGGACTAGGCTTGGATATATGTGTGTCTCAAATGAGAGCCAAGAACCACGTACTGATCAATACTATGGATGTGCGTGTATCCTATTGCTAAGGCGCTGCCCTCAATCAATATTCCTGCATTATGCATATCCAACCACCAACTTTCCCAGATTCTGATTTTCCTTCAGTCAGAAAAAAAAAGGGTGTGTCCATTTTCTGGGAAGCCAAACACAAAATACTTCAATTCTGGGTTGGACCATTTGATAAGACCCATGTTGATGATCACTGCACAGAAATTACTTAAATTTATGCTCATCAATATTTAGGACCATATAATATAATGCTTGAGTTGAGAGTTGCAGACAGAGGAGAGGATGGAGCAAAAGCAGAAAAATAAAGTCACTGGAAAGATAGCTGCTGGTGCTGGTGCAGGCTAGTAGATTAATCAGATGCCATGCCACAGTGCCACTGCTTCAACAGATGAGGCCATGACAAGAAGATGATTTTAATGCAGTGAGAAAACAAGGAGGAGACAGCTAGCAGCATATCAATGAAGACAAATTTTTGTCTGCAACATCAAAATCACTCAGAACAGCTAAAGATTTAAAATCAGTAGAAACAGAAAAAGACCCTTAATTTTTCACAGTGTGGGTAGAAATTAGAAAAATAAAATAAAAGAACTTGTTTGTTTGTAGAACAGAAAGAAAAGAAGAGCATCAAGGGTGACCAGACCAATGGATATGGGTCAACTCTGAAATGTCAGAGGCCTAGCCACTAAAAAAGAGTCCTTCTATGGTAACTGGAACATGGGCCGCTTTAGGCCCACATTGCAATTTGCAAGAACTATTTTCATTTTTTTATTTATCAAATTTAAATAAATATAATTTCTTTACTAGGTATTGCTTGCTGTTAATTAGTTAGGAGTGAGTGTGACTGTAATTGTTTATGTTTTAGAAAATTACAGTTGACTCGCACTTAAATTTAGTTTTCAAAAGCCGACGGAGTCTCTAAGCTAGTGAAAAAGGGGTTCAATTCGCATACTAGTGGTATTAGATTCAGGCTCAAATTCTATAGTACTTTGGTAGTGTGGGTGTGAGAAACCCCCCTTCCTTTGTAGTTAAACTATCGTGTATTAAAAAAAAATTAGTTTCCAAAATTGTTATTCTAATTTCCCAAACATTGTAATTATATTTGATTTTAAGAGTGTTTTTATAACTTTATAGTCCGTTAAAATGGTTTTTAATCTTATCAACAAACTTCTGTAGATGAATTAATCATAAAATACAAATATTTTGGGTTCGAATTTACCAAAAGGGTAGGTATTATTATGTATACTTTGATACAAAATTCGGGTCAAATGTGGTATTTTATAATTTTTTAAAGTGAAAACACTGAAAGTCAAAAGCTTTAAACTTTCTGTTACACTTACAGCTCATGTTGCTGCGAGCTCTTCTCTGTAATTTTATTTCCCAGTCAAAAGAAAATTGCGCGAGCTCCATGTTAATTAATATCTGACACTTGGACTCGAAGCCTGCATAAACTGTGATTTTCAATCAACGACAATCCAATTGGTTTTCGTTGTATAGCTAAGAGATTTGGATGAGACACGTATAGATATGTGTGGCTCATCGGTTTCCACGACTGCCCGCAACACGAAGCCAAGCCAAGCATTTTGGAGGCAAGCTTCCTGTGAAAACCCCACCAACACATCCAAAACCCCCATGCTTACCACCTTTTGAAATTTTAGCTTAAACCCAGTGCTCCTTTGATCTCCTCCCTCTTGATCGAATCACAAGTTTGATTCAATGTCGTCCATGTCTAGATTTTCTGTAAAGGATTTCAAGTTAAGAACATGTGACGCTTTCTGCAGGCCAAGCTCTTCTCTATCTGCAAGGAGGCTGCAAACTCATCTGGGTACGTGTTATTCAATTCATGCTTGGTTTCAATGCTTATTCTTTCTGGCTAGTGATTTTGTCGGCTTCTGGCAATTGGGTTCTGTTTCTTTTGTTGTTTTATTTATAAAATTCTGTGCTTTGGGACTTCAAATTTACTTCTGTTTCAAACTTTTGTTTTCTGACATTGATTGTTGTATAGATCTTAGAGGTTTACTTTCTGTGCCTGAGAATGGAAGAAGTTGTGCAATCCAAAGCAAGCCATGGAGTCCCATCGTTGTGCAATCCAAATCAAGGTGTTTTTTTCCTTCCGAACATCGTGTTTGGCTTTCAAGTTCTTCTTTACTCTGTTTGATATGTCTTTGATGAAAGAAAAGTTAATATATCAATGTGATCATGCACCAGCATTATTGGTTAATGCTGGAGGGAACAATAGTGGAATAGGCAATGGGAAATTTTTAGTCTTGGAGGAGAATGTGGAAAAACATATATTGATGTGCTTTATTTACACCAATAGGAGAAGAGATAGGCCTCACTTGATTAGGGAACTGGTCTCAAGCTTTACACCAGCAGATACCCATTTACCAGTAATGCTCTAAACCATATACTGTCCGGTCTGTGTCCTCATTTTAGCCAACTATTTATAGAGATGGTTGCCCTTTTCAAGCATGATTATTTTTACTTAATAATCTGCACTTCCTGTTTAATGAACAACCAATTCCACATTCTCTATATATTATGACCAGCTTGTTGGCGGCTATATGTAGGAACTCTGAAGTTTTGTGCAAGGCTTCAACAAATTTATCTGGAGATCTTCCCGGTAGCACTTCTAGTGGGATGAGCCAGTATGAGAGAATAATTGAAACTTTGACAACTCTATTTCCTGTGTGGGTAGGTATTACATTTCAACCCTAAAAAAAATTTGAAACTGTTATCCAGTTTCTCATTTTCAGTACTTCTTAATTGCTTACTTCTGTGTCTATTTTAAACAAAGCTTTCTCAAGGAACACTTTCACATTCTAAATCGAATTCCATGGACAGGTCATATTGGGCACCATCCTGGGGATCTACAAGCCATCTGCTGTAATATTTCTTTGCCTGCTACTTCAATATGTGGCATATCAACTAGTGTATAACTAGCTTATTGTTGGGGTTCCTGCAGGTAACTTGGTTGGAGACAGACCTTTTCACACTTGGACTGGGTTTCCTCATGCTTTCTATGGGTTTGACATTGACCTTCGAGGATTTTAGACGATGTTTACGTAATCCTTGGACTGTGAGTAACATCCACTCAAATTTAAGTCGTCGGACACTTTCGAAAACAGAATGATCTATTATTAAATGGTATTGAATTTTTTTTATTGCAGGTCGGTGTAGGATTTCTTGCACAGTACATGATAAAACCTCTGCTAGGCTTTGTCATTGCCCTGGTATTTCTTCTTCAAAATTTGTGTGGGCTGTCGTGTAATTTACTATTGAAATATATTAATTTCTTATAGAATTTGTCCTTTACCATTCAAGTTCATGATAACAGAATTAGAAAAGCAGGTTTTACACATACATAAAATATTTGCTCAATTCAGACTTTAACAAAAAAGCTCATGTTTACCACCCATCCATATTCGAAGATCCTCTCTTGTATTACCAAAAAAGGGGCAGGTTGACTGGATAAGTTTATGGATAACCACATGCCTTTTAATAGTGTTTGGATGCAATGGTAGTATTGACTAAACATATATGTTATCTAAGATTTCCTCTCTGATTTTCAGACGCTAAAACTTTCTGCACCTATTGCGACTGGTCTTATCTTGGTCTCATGCTGTCCTGGTGGTCAGGCATCAAATGTTGCAACTTATATATCTAAAGGAAATGTTGCACTTTCTGTTCTCATGACAACGTAAGTCACATGCACTCAAATGCAAATTAAATCAGAGAACTATATTCAGCATGTTTAGAACATAAGGTTAATTATTCAAGGCAATTAGGATTTTCTGTCCCAAATATATGCTACCTTGGAAATGCGATTGCATACTATCTATAATGGTAATGACTGTTACTGAAGTTGATATTATAAAACAAAAAACAAGAGTCTTTACTACATCTTGATGTGATTATTTTGTGGAATTTTGTAGGTGTTCAACAATAGGAGCTATTATTATGACACCGCTTCTTACCAAGCTTCTTGCTGGCCAGCTTGTTCCAGTTGATGCTGCGGTAAGTTCAAACATGATTGACTGATGTAGGACAACATGAACAGATAGGAAAAAAATAAAGAGATCTGGACTCACTTCGCCTTTGGCATCGCACCAAAAGTGTCCAATAGAGAAATTAGAAAAATTTCGGCATCACACCGAAGGTGCCTTGGAACCACTCCAAGTCAACTCGCGCCTCACACATAAGTTGGAGTTGAAAATAACTGTTTTTCTTTCACTAACTCTGATTTTAAAAGCTTACAAAGTAGCCCCTTTTATAGGATTATTGGTACATGAATCTTGAAAGATCCACATTAATACACTTAGGAATCCAAAAGACATAATTATGACACCTAATACATTAATCATGTGACATTGATATCTTGTATTACCACTTATGACAGTGATATTTTCCCCCACCGTCTTTGCAGGGCCTAGCAATCAGCACTTTCCAGGTTGTTTTAATGCCAACAATTGTTGGAGGTAACTAGAATATTTTATAGTTACCATCAGAATCTGAAAATCAATTATCACAAACCACAGCTTATTTCCAATATCTGGACTTACATTCATAATCAAAACTCTGCTCCCTGCTTTATGTGACAGTACTGGCAAATGAGTTCTTCCCCAAAGTCACTTCAAAAATAGCCTCAGTGACTCCTTTAATTGGAGTAATTCTCACCACTCTACTCTGTGCTAGCCCGGTAAGTCACAAAATATTAACTGAGTTGACTATTCCATTTCGATAGCTTTTGTGATTTCATGAAGTTACATTGCATCTAATGGGGTAACTTGAATTCTTACATTTTTTAAGATCGGGCAAGTTTCTGAAGTCTTGAAAGCACAAGGGGCACAACTAATACTCCCGGTGGCTGTTCTACATGGTGCTGCATTTGCTATTGGTTATTTTGTTTCAAAAATATCATTTGGTGAATCTACTTCTCGTACCATATCCATAGAGTGTGGGATGCAGGTAAACAACTTCTCAGTTAGTATTTCCATACTGATTTTACACGAAGATTGTCAAGGTTGAACAAGTTCATCTGATCTCTGACGTCTTGCAAATCATGAATTCCATTTGTATACTGAACTTTTACTGGATGTGTTAATCTTGACAAACCTGAAATTGTTAGATAACTAAAGTAACCTCTAATTTATGTTCTTGATAATTTCATTTGCAGAGCTCAGCACTTGGGTTTTTACTTGCTCAAAAGCATTTTACAAACCCCCTTGTAGCTGTCCCTTCTGCTGTTAGTGTTGTTTGTATGGCGGTATGACTCTCTTAAAATCTCCTTTTTCTTTCTTAGTTATCCTTTTGAGTAAACCCAAGTACAATCTAATTTACTGTCATAATTGTCTTCCTAACAGCTTGGTGGGAGTGCTCTTGCTGTGTTTTGGAGAAACACACCAATTCCTGTTGATGACAAGGATGATTTCAAAGAATAATTGGAGAGATCATGGCCTTCTTTTTTGTCTTTCTTTTTGGGTAAAATTCTTTTTTGTCTTGGTACCCTTTCTTTCTATAATAATTGCTTGTTAGAGAGAGATGGTTAACTTTTTTATATTAGAAAGTCATATTTGCATCCAGACGAAAAAAAGAAGAAGTCATATTATGTGAATGGAAAAGCTTTGGATTGAGGTACAAAAAGGGACACAGGAATCTCCTTGTTCTAGAAAAAGGCCTTACAGAAGCACATTGGAGAAAATGCCTCTATTCAACCTTCTGTTTTATGGCAAATTTTGTACCACTAGGTTTTTTTTTGTTTTTGTTTTTGTTTTTTGGGGTCGAAACACAACTGGGTTCATATATCAGTTTTGGGATTAGGCATGATCTTGTTTCAGGAAATTAGAATTGAAAATTATTCTATTCTTTTGGCATTAGCACCAGCTAATGATGCTCATGATTTAATCACCTTAATTAACAAAATGAACGAATAAAGGGTCTTCAATCATAACTTTAAATAAGAGATTTGTTGCGTTAAAAAAGATAAAGACTTGGAATTTTCCCAACCACCTTTCTCTGACTTTCTGTGACTTTGCAGCAAACAGCAAAGCCTGTCGAACTTTTTTTATTCTGGCACCAATAAAGACAATTTGGCAGTAAATAATATCAAGCAATCCGTGATGTGATATGCAGACATTACAAAGCCAGAAAATGGACAAAAGAGGGTCACGCCAAACTTATTCTGATCTATTTTGACCTCTTTATGCGTCCTACGACCGTAGAAAAAAATCGTTACCAAACAAACAAAGCTGCATTGGAAAAAAAATACATCATTTGCTTATTAGTCTGCCAATAAAACCAATCAATATAAAATGAAAGCAAAACAAAGTCCCAAGTGTTATGTTAATATTTGTTCTGCACAATTCTCCTTTTATAACAATATGAACTATAAGTTCTTCTATGGAGAATCACCTGTTCATATAATAATTTTAAGTGATTTGATAGAGAAGCAGATAAGAGGTGAATCTTCTCAAATGTGATTGTAGCCTATTTAGAATCACTCTCAAACAAGTCCTAACAATGAATATGCTTGGGCATTTGAGAAACATACAAAGAATGATAAAGTAACGAGATAAAATTTAAATAGTTGTGATAATTTATTTTAATAAGAAATGCTCACTTAATTCATTTTTTATTCGTTTATTTTTAAAGCTAAGATAAGGAGAATAAACATACATTGTATTAAAGTAATACATCAAGATAAAACAACTTAAATTATGGAAAAGGAAACCATTTAAATTACAGATTAGAGATGTGTTTTAAAAATGCATGCATTACTTGCCAACCAAGTTATTAAAAGCTTGGCAAAGAAAGAAAAAAAATTCAAACAAAATTTGAAAGAAAAAATAAATATAAGTGAATGCCAACCATCTTAATGCACCGGTTGCGTGACATTTTAGAATTGAAGAGTGAGAAGAAGAAGGAGCACTACGCCTGCCAAAAACAGAAGAAGAAAAAAAACTCATAAAAATAATCAAAAGGAAAGTAAAAGGAAAAAAAGAGAAAAAGAAAAAGGAAAAAAAACCACAAAAATGAAAAATATTATTTTAGTATTGAATGAGGAGGTTATCGTCTTCAACTTTCAAGTAGAGTGAAGGAGAAAACAAAACAAAAACTTCCATCTGCTTCCGAAGAGCAGAAGACAGGACCCTGAGCATTTTAACACAATTTCTCCGACATTCGACTTCGTTATCTGCTAAGTGTCGAAGGCTTCGGGTTTACTTACAAATTGCTCTTGCTGTTAATCTCAGAATCATGTCTCAGAGTCAGACCAATTGGGAAGCTGATAAAATGTAAGTATTGTTTACTTCGTCTTGTTTCTTTTAACGTTACTTTGGTCCTGATATTTTCTGCCTTTTCTTCGTTTTGCTGTTATCATGGTAGTAGCCACTTGTACTTCGGGGATTTGTAGTGAGCTTTTGGTTCTAGGGTTCTTTCTTCAGTGTTCAGTTTTGCTGGGTACTGTTGTTTTTGTTATCTTTGTTCAAACGGGTATTTCTTTAGGGTTCAATTTTCTGCCTTTTCTTCGTTTTAATTATTTCTTTTAAAGAATAACATTCAAGCTTATTGACGCTGGGTAAGTTGTTGCCTTTGCTGTTGGCTTGTGCAAAATTTGTGTCTTTTTTTGGGGCTCGATTTGGTCTCTCTGGTTTGGGTTTTGTTGAGATATCTTCCATATTTTCGTATATGAATATATTCATGCTTCTTGTTGTTGCCTGGCTTTGGGTTTTCTTTCCTTTCTTCCCCCTTTTATTTTTCCAAGCTTTGCTTGTGACGTTTGTTTGGTTGGATTGAGGGTTGAGATGGGGTGTTGTTGATTTGGATGAATCTTTGTATCTGCAGTTGTCTCATATTTTTCCCTGCTCCAGAAAAAAAAAAAAACAGGAAAAGAGGAAAGAAATTTAGGGCCTGTTTGATAACCATTTCAGTTTTAGTTTTTAGTTTTCATTTTTTGTGCTAGAGTATAGAGGAAAATGAGAGTGAGGATGAGATGAAGAGAGAGGATGAGAGGGGAGGATGGGAGGGAGGAGTAACAAAAGTGAAAACAATTTCAAATAGATTTCGGTTTTTTGTTTTTGTTTTCACTTTTGTTACTCCTCCCTCACAGCCTCCTCTCTCATCTTCCCTCTCAATCCCATCTCCACACTCATCCTCACTTCCATTCTCACTCTTTTTCCTCTATACTCTAGCACAAAAATGAAAACTAAAAACTAAAATTGAAATGGTTTTCAAACGGGCCCTTAACTTTTCAGTCTTCTAATTTGTATTGTTTTGCGTTTCGGTAAATTTGAGTTTTTTCCTCAACTAACAACACACTAGCTGAGTTACTTGTTTTCTCCTCCCAGATTATGGGTGACATTGTAGATCCAAAAAGCTGTTGTTGTTGTACATGTCTTTTGATGTTGAGGACTTTCTTAAAAGAATTTCCATTTTGAATCTCATGTTTGATTCAGTTTGTTCTAGAAAATAAATAATTCGCTTCAACTAAGCCTGACAGAAAAAACTTAATTAGTGAGAAGAATTTGTTTCAAAGATTGTAATGTTTGATATTTTCATTCGTTTTCTTGTCATTGGATTGGTGGATTAGCATCGTATCAGATTTTATGTTTTTGCATTGTGGACCTTCTTCCAATGTTAATTTTCAGAAGTTAAAGTTTTTTGGATTCCTGACATGTGGAAGTTTTATAATTTGTGTGGATCACAGGTTGGATGTGTATATATATGATTACCTTATGAAGAGAAAATTACATGCTTCTGCAAAGGCATTTCAAGATGAAGGAAAAGTGTCTACAGATCCTGTAGGTAAGTATATATGCCAAAGAAAAGAGATTCACTGCATACTGTGAATTGATTTTCTGAACTTGTTTACATTTCTTTGATCTTACTCTTGCTCCAGCTATAGATGCACCTGGTGGCTTTCTTTTCGAATGGTGGTCTGTCTTTTGGGACATATTTATTGCTAGGACGAATGAGAAGCACTCAGAAGCAGCTGCATCTTACATTGAGGTGCGGATTTATATTGGACTTCAACCCTGGCTCTGATGTTTTTTCTTTCAATTCATAAATATAGATGGAATTGTTTGGACTTCTCTCTATTTGAAATGTTTCACTGTTTGTCTGGATGTGTTAGACTCAAGTGATGAAGGCTAGGGAGCTGCAGCAGCAACATCAGCAGCAGAAGCCTCAGCCGCAACAGCAAATGCAAATGCAAATGCAAATGCAGCAGCAGCAGCAGTTGTTACAGAGGCAGCAGCATCAGCAGCAGCAGCAGCAGCAGCAACAACAACAACAACAACAACAACAGCAGCAGCAGCAGCAGCAGCAACAGCAGCGTCGAGATGGGACCCAGCTTCTAAATGGCACTGCCAATGGGCTTGTTGGCAATGATCCTCTTTTGAGGCAGAACCCTGCAACTGCTAATTCAATGGCAACAAAAATGTATGAGGAGAGATTAAAGCTTCCAATACAGAGGGATGGTTTGGATGATGCAGCTATCAAGGTAATAAGTTTTGCCATAGATTCAAAGATGTTCTTTATATTTTAGATTCCTTTCATCTATTCATCAACTCACAATACATACGCCATGCAGCAAAGATTAGGTGATAATATGAGTCAGCTTCTGGATTCCAATCATGCCTCATTGTTGAAAGCCGCCACTACAGGTGGCCAGCCTCCTCGGTATTTCTCTTGAAGATTCCATATTTATCTTTACTCAGCATTGTGGTGTAACACATGCTCTGTGTGCGCAATTGATGCTTAATATGAAAGTGGTTGAAATCCTTCCTGACAGTCAAATGCTGCATGGACCTGGAGGTATGTTGGGGAATCTTCAACAAGCTCACAACCGGAGTCAGCAACTTCCTGGTTCGACACAGGTGATTATCATCAGCGATCTGTTTCATACTTCGTTTTTTATCCATACAGTTTGATTTTTCTTGTTTTGGGTATCCTTTGCATGATGAAACAGGACATAAAGACTGAGATGATGAACCCCAGAGCTGCTGCTCCAGAAGGATCATTGATTGGTGCTCATGGTATTGATTAATATTGTTTTTTTTTTTTTTTTTTTCTGTACGGGGAATTTCTGGGTGGGTTTTGGGTGTGAAACTTGAACAGATAAATAAGAAAACTGTAAAAGTTCGAAAGCTCTTTGAATTTATTTCTGGTATCTATTTATCTCCTATGAATGATTCATATGTTCATTTCAGGATCAAATCAAGGCAGTAACAATTTGACTCTGAAAGGATGGCCTTTAACGGTAGAACTGAATACCCAGTGTTGATATTACTTTTGCATCCCCCCTCCACTTGATATGATTCTAATTCATGTTTTCTGTTTGGTCTTTGGGCTATTCTGTGGCCAATAGTTAACTATAGTGTTAAGTCAAACAGAAAATGGAGTACTTGATGGGTGAAATTTTTAGAGGAAATGCTATATTCTTAAGGCATTGAATTAAGAATACCATACACCTAAAGGTTAAGGATGATTAACAATTAATCTTCTTATTTTAGATATACATATTAATATTATTCTCTCTCTCTCTCTCTCTCTCTCTCTCTCTCATTTTTTGTTTTTACTAAAAATATGTAACACCACTTGAGGAACATGTTTTCTGTTTCATGCAAGATTTTATGACCTATTAT